TAAACAGTAATATAAAAAAATTAAGATGTTTAAAAGAAAATAAAAACATACATCTGGTGTCAGTATTGCCATATGCCAAGGAAGTCTAAAATAAACGCCCTGTACGTGTGGGGCGTTTGGAACGAGGAGGTTTTCAAAATCAGTGTGAATCAAATGGCCTACGTCGTGTTTTACACACAGGACGCGTGGCGCATGCCGGGTCAGTATATAGTGGTGATGCGGAACGGAACGCACTTGAACCAGGTAGAGCGCACCGCGCGCAGACTCCGCGCAAAAGCTGCCAAACGCGGATATCTAATCGAAATACAGCAGACTTATTCAGGAGGTTTCCACGGGTTTCTGGTGAAAATGAGCAGCGATGTTCTTCACATGGTAATTTGCAAACATTATTACATGATGCTCACAATTTCATATTTTATATTTAAGAATGTTTGTTCAGTCTGATGGACTGAAAAAAAAAACACGAAAACAAGTACTGGAATTACAATAATTCTTAAAAATACACATTGCCTGTCTTCTTCATTCCATTGTCTTCCAATTTCAAATTCCATTGTTTTTGGCAGGCAGTAAAGCTGCCCCATGTGGAATACATTGAAGAGGATTCCTCCATCTTCGCCCAGAGCATCCCATGGAACCTGCAGCGCATCCTTCAAAACAAACATGAGACTGGAAAATACTCACCACCAAGTGAGCTGACGTTTTCCACTCTTTTTCACTTTGTTACTTCTAAAAATATGTTCTGAGATCCTGAAGTGAACCCGTTTCCTATTTTTTTTTATGGTAATAAAGTATTAAACCTACAGAGCTGTAATGTTTGTGTGTATGTAGATGACGGAGCAAAAGTGGGAGTGTATCTTTTGGACACAAGCGTTCAGGTGACTCATCGCGAGATTGAGGACAGGGTGATGGTGACGGACTTCAACAGTGTGCCGGAGGAGGATGGGGTCAGAGTTCACAGACAGGTAGTTGAATGTAATAAAATGCGTTTTATGACAACTGGATAGTTTTAATAGCTAATAAGAAAAAGTATGTCCATCAATTCCTGCGTTCGTCTGCCCACAGGCTAGTCAGTGTGACAGTCATGGCACTCACATAGCAGGTGTGGTCAGTGGACGGGACTCTGGTGTAGCTCGAGGTGCCAGTGTAAACAGCGTCCGAGTGTTAAACTGCCAAGGCAAGGGTACTGTGTCAGGAGCTTTGGCAGGTAAACCAAAACATAAATAATAATTGTATATAACTATTAAATACACATACAAGTTGTATTAACCTATATATAAAACATTTTTCTAAATTAATAAGTAATTACTATTTAGATGTATTTTGATAAAGTAGATCTTTGCAGAATTTGCATTAATTGACCCAACTCTGTTGCAGGTCTGGAGTATATTCAGTCGTCTCTGATGTCTCAGGCTATCAGACCTGTGATCCTACTGCTGCCATTTGTAGGGGGATTCAGTCGCACCCTCAACGCTGCCTGCAGGAAAATGGTGGAATCTGGCGCAGTGCTTGTTGCTGCAGCTGGTAACTACAACGATGATGCTTGTCTGTACTCACCAGCGTCAGAGCCTGAGGTACAATGGATTCAATTCTTCAGAAAAGCAATTGCTTGTCAATATATTCAGTTTTGACATGATTTGGTCCTCTGCTGCAGGTGATAACAGTAGGGGCCGTTAATTTTGCTGACCAGCCCTTGAGCACTGGGACGACAGGCACCAACGCGGGCCGCTGCGTGGATGTGTTCGCACCCGGTGATGACATCATCAGCGCGTCCAGCGATTGCTCCACCTGTTTCACCACCAAGAGTGGAACGTCACAGGCAGCGGCACATGTTGCTGGTTAGCACCAAAACATGCCAAAACTATGCCATTTTGTTTTATCAGTCTGCCCAAACAGCTGTGTATTTTCAGGTATAGCGGCGGTGCTCCTAAATTTGAATCCGAACTCTAGTTCTTCTGAGATTCTGCAACAGCTCCTCCATCATTCAGTCAAACAGGCCATTAACCCAGAGTCTCTGCCACTGAACCACCGTCTCCCTACACCCAACATGGTGGTCGCCCTGCCTGACCCGACCTCCACACTCACAGGTCAGAGTTCACGAGAAAAACTTTATTTAAATGACTCAACACTGTGGCTTGCTGAGCAATGTCTGATGATGACTCTAATACTGTAATCAGCAGACTGTAATACATTCATAATGTAATATAACAACCTTATTAATATTTAATAATAATATCAATCTTTAATTCAACATTATAATTAGCAGATTACAGTACATTTTGTATAAAAATCTTCTTTCAGAACCATTGATATACTATAATAGTTTTTAATGAAATCTTAATTTAGTGTTAAAAAATTTAATAAAAATGTTATTAGTTAAAAAAAAGTATATATGTTACCACAAAACCAGTCATAAGAGTCAATTTGAGATTTATACATCATCTGAAAGCTGAATAAATAAGCTT